TGAATTCATTTCTATATATATATATATACTTGAAGTATATAAATATGTATATATATAGGCCTATATATATTATATATATGCATATATATATGTATATATATTATATACATGTATAAAGTACCATACAGTATTAAACATTTTCTCCAAAAGCAGAGAAATAACATTTTTGCTAAATTATTTTGACTACGTTCATTTGTTAACAAACCAAAATATTTCTGCTGTGTGGCGTTGTTATAATAATATTTTCCCAAATAAATCTCACGAAGATTACTATGAACACTGTAAAACAAAGTGGAATTCATTTTCTAAACAGTTAAGTTAATAGCTTGCAAAGCTTATATGAATCTACTTTGCTAAAGGAGTTAGCATTAAGACATGTTTAATAAAATATATGTTTGATAAGATATATTGTTGTATTCTAATTTTAGACACAGATTTTTACGATGATGATCATCACTGACTGGTGGTGACAGTGTCTGTAGCAATATTTTGTTTTGTAGATTTTTGAAGATATATTAGATATGATAACTGGTGGTGACAGTATTTGTAGCAATAGTATTTTGTAGATTGTTTTTAGCTCTACTAAATATGACAATAATATTTTCACCCATTATAATGCCCCTGGCGACGACCCATGGTCCAAAGGAGGAGAGAAAAAAATTCTAATTCCATTTCGCTTACTACCTGGGATGGCGTTTTGAATCAATCACTTATATTGCAAGACTTTAAAAACCCTTCCCCCTCTCCATTTTAGAGCCTGGTTATTGATATTAAGTTATCTTGTTTTGCAGAAATGACAATAGAAATTTAACAGCAAGAGTTTAAAAAAAAGAATAATTATGGATCGTGAAGACGAACTTCTAAGATCCCAATATCAAACTACCTGGGATGGCGTTTTGAATCAATCACTGATATTGCAAGACTTTAAAAACCCTTCCCCCTCTCCATTTTAGAGCCTGGTTATTGATATTAAGTTATCTTGTTTTGCAGAAATGACAATAGAAATTTAACAGCAAGAGTTTAAAAAAAAGAATAATTATGGATCGTGAAGACGAACTTCTAAGATCCCAATATCAAACTCTTAAGGATTTAGGATTATTCAATGAACCAATAGAGCGATATGTTAGTAGGAACGAAGATGATGGGTACTTATGTGATACACAGCAAGATAGTAAGCCTAATCAAGTCGACTATCAGGGAAGCCCAAAACGGTACGATTCAGAGGAATACCTCTGTGACACACAGGACAATGCTAGGGCTTTCTATCACTCTCCACCCCGTTCTCCAGTTAATGATTTCCGGTTTAAATCTCAGCAATCAGATGATGATAATGGTTATACGTCACCAGACAACGATTCTGATAATGACGATGACCTACGACCACATAGTCCAAATCATGCGTATGATTCTGACGAAAGGACTTCATCTTTGACCCATGCCAGACACTTTCCTCAATCATACACCTCACCAGAATGCTCCCCGTTACAACCGCGGAGAAATTCAAAAGCCACTTCATCATCAGTGATTAATGATGACTTGGATGAAGAGGACCTGTACAGTCCTAGTGCCGACAATGATCCAGCGTTTGATGCTAAACTGATTCACAGGGCTGTTGGTCTGGACCCTTTTCCAGTTGGAAAGACTGGTCTACCAATTAACTGGACCGAGTCAGCTTTAGCTTTCCATAAAGTAGTTGAACTCCATGCTGGCAATCTAGAATTCAATCAAATATATTCCACTATTGATGATGCTGGTATTACTGTAGAGAATATCGAACGAATTGAAAACAAATCCCTTCTTGATAAGTTTCTATTGGAAATCGATCATATGAAAAAAAGAAGAAAGTGTTCTGACGAAGGTAAAGTTCGAAATGAAGAATTTTTAAAGATCTTAATCGTAATAGCATCATAATCTGTCTCTTATACACATCTAGATGTGTATAAGACCGTATATAATGTATTTATGGACCTGCTCACTTTTAAAAGCGTATCATACTGAATATAAAATCGGAATTGTAACATAAACAAGAAACAAAATAATCAATAAGTATAAATTGTGTCATATTCAGTACAGGCAATACTGAATGCAATAGTTGCAGTTTTATATTTCTACGCTGTAATCATAAGCCAAAATAAATAATTAATAACGAATAATGATATTGTGTGTGATTAGATTTGAACATCGTGTACTTGTTTCATGGTACTTGTGCAAAAAAGGAAGTCCTTACCGAGGAAGGCCTAGATCAAAGGCTGGCCCGCCCGGGACATTTTGGAAGGGGGATTTATTTCAGGTAGGTAGCATGTCATTAATTTCGGTAGTTAATGATTTGTTGTATATAAGATTCTATGTGACAAGTGATTTACACATATATGGGCATGATAATGTCAGATCGTAATGTAATGGATCAAAACATAGACTGGGGATGGAATTTGATCGACCCTCCGAGTACCATACAGATACTCTTCAAACCTAACTAAACCGCCCTACAAACTGTATAATTATAGTGATATTGATAATTGATGATGTATTTTCTCAAATTAAATTGTTCATCTTTCAATTCAGTGATAACCCTCGGAAATGTATGGAATATATAATGCGCAAGAAGAAAGAAGGTCAATCCGGTTATATAATCATGTGTCGTGTTTTACTTGGTCATGTAAAGGTATATACTGTATAAGTTTTAAACGTCTTTAGACATTGAACTTTTTAAATAGAATTATTTTGTGTTAATAAAGATAACGTATTAAGGACAGTCAGTATATCATGCTTATTAAATGTGGTTTTAAAATATATATGATATATCTCGAAAAGTAACTACAAACTGTTTAAATTCAAACTTATGAATAATTGTATCCAATATTTTTGTAGTTATATTTTTCATTTTATTTAAATACTGTATTGATAATTGAGCTCAAATTCTATGTAATTTATGGAAACCATTTTTTACTTTGTTAACATGCAGGATTGAAAGAATGGGAAAGATCATATAGCTAGATAACGTTATAATACTATTGTATTGCAGATATATGATGATGGCAAACAAGATAAAACTTTACTGCGGGAGCCAGAAATAGAGCAGAGCAAACAACGATATGACTCTGTCAAGGTAAATTTTTTTTTAATTGAATCCTCGACCTCCAGTTGGCAAACCGCTCATTAACACATTTTAACTATCAAATATCTATTTCATATCCATAAATTAGTTAAACTTGCCTAAGCCGACTTTGCCTAACTCGAATAATTTCTAAGTCGATCTTATTTTACAGGCCAAACTGTTGTGTTTTCCATTAATTAACGATCTATAATCGAATTTTATCCAAGTCGAACAATTTTTCTATGCTATTTTGAATTCGGCAAGTTCAACTTAACTTGAATGATG